CAAACTAATCAAGTGCTAGGATTAGCTTTTTCTGGTAACCCGAGATGGCCTTTCAGGAGGCTCATGAAAGTCCTTCCCGTAAGTTCTTCTCAATTCCTATCTCCTGAAATGCAGGAGTTGAAGTCCGCCAAAGCTTGAGCGATTTGCCCGCCACACCTCGCACACTCTTTGTCAAGACTCGACGACTAGCTACCCTGCAACGGAACTCTCTTCCACCGGATCTATTTGCCTTGGTTTTGTTGGTGGATAACTTGACTTGTCCCCGATCTTACGTGCAGTCAACTCTTTTGGCAAGTCGTGGGGGAAGGGTGCTGTCGAGCTTCAAGGGTAGGCTCACGCCAATGATTGCAGCACTGCTAGAGGCATTTCGGCCGTAGATGACACCGCCGCTGTCAACATGCTTTGAAAAAAGCTTCCCTTCCACTTGCTTGCAGCAGTACATTGACTTCCATTTTTCATCGGACATGAGTGTCACAGAATGTTGACGCAATCGGTCATACGCTAGCTTCCAGGAAAAATTGAAAAAAACAGGGCTGCCAGGCGCACGTGCCTGGCGATTGAAAGGTCCGCTCACTTAGCTAAAAACCTCAGTCCAAGGCACGGTTTTGAGGCCAAGCCGAGCTACCAAACGTAGAGTTTCATCCCAGCTCAGCCAATCCAAACCTCGACGGGCTGCGAAGACCTCGAGTGCTCTTAGATGCCCTTAGCCTCTCTTCATTTGAGACCGACCGCCTGGGCGCTGATGCATTCAAGTTGCGTAAAAGTAGCTTGCAAGGTTGTCGTATTCGATGCTGTGAACCGCTTGCATATTCTCTCCGAACAATTCCAGATCCCCGAGCTCGTCACCAATGCAAGTTGCCAGCTCTTTTACAGCGGAGAATGATTCGTGCGTTGCCGGCTGTGCGTGCGTCCTTCCGAAGACAAGCGGCATCCCGCTGCTTGAGTCCGCCTTGATGCAGCAGTTGCCTCCGTCCAGCTTTTCAGTTATGACCACCTCAACTGAAAGAAGCTTTTGGCAGTCGGAAACGCGCGTGTCATCAGGATTGATGCCCGGAGAAAACGGAAGGTGCGGAGTTTTTGGATAATTAGATTTGCTGGCTGATTGATCAGGTTTGGGTGAGTCGTCACTTGTCTGTACAAGTCCGGCAGCAGGCAGCGAGGAGATCGAAATGCCCAGCCTCTTCTGACAGTGCAATAGTGCCTTTGTCACCCGAGCCTGCTCAGCTTCAAGCTGCTCCAAAGGTAGTAAGTGAAGTTGACTTTGAGCCATCTCCAGGGCTGGCATCGCCTCCTCATGGCGGGAGAGCATGACCAAGGCAAAGGCACGGCTTCGACAGCCGATCACATCATCATGTCTTAGTTGCAACAGGCGTTCTGAAGAGGCCAAAACCTCATCTGCTCTCTTTACTCGCCCATAGAATTGGCACTGTACCTGCAAGGCTTCGGCTTCCAAGGCAACATTGTCATCAGCACCGAGTAGAGCAGTGGAAGCCAGTTGCTCAATGCTGCCCTCATACACCGAAAACAACGGAGGAGGAACAGAGGACAACAAAAGAGATGCCTCGCGGCTTAATGTTGAGCTGTTGACAGGAGCTCTCCGAAGCGATGAAAGGCCTTTAGGCTTTGAGTGAACATCACAACCATGAAAACCAAAGGTAATGTGGAAATCTTTTGCTTGCAGCCCCAACTTCGCGCGAACAGCTGCAGCCGCTGGCCACAGCACAGCGCGAAATACAGACTCGCCAGCATCATCCTTGCAAGAGCCCGTGCCAATGTCGATCCAGTCCCAGCAGCTCGGCATCTTTGAAAGCATGGCACAAATCGATCTGGACACGGAGTTGACGTCAGCGGCATCGGGAACATTTGCTCCGGCATCCTCCCAAATCGTTGCAGGAACATCAGCCAAGCAGCTCTGCGTCAGGCATTGCAAATCGCTTTTGCTCAGGAACGTGATATGATGTTGCGGCCCATCTCGCCTGCTGCGCTGTTGTTGCCAGGCAGAGGGAGCATCGTCTAGGCCTCGCTGCGCTGCCTTCGTCAAGCTGTGAAATGCGCAAAGTTTAAGAGACTGGGAGTATCTAGGTGGATGGAGTGACGAAGACTATCCTACCAAGACCCTGGGAAGGGCATGGCCAGCATTCGTCAGCACACAGTCCTGGTCTACTCGCGGTCCCGCAACTGCAACGACCCCGCGATTGAATGCCAGGTGCTGGTCATGGCAGGATAGTAGGACACTGGAGGTCTCCATCACTGGTGAAACCCTTGCCTCTTCCCTGCTGTCTGTGGCTCTGTTGTGCAGCTGCGGAACACAGGACACTGGCAGCAGCTTGAAGCTTGAAATCTGCCAACTTCGCTACCGCACACCCTCAGCATCTGCAAGCAAACCATTTAAGATCATAGCTACCACCAAAAGCACTGTCGGCATTGCAACCTGAGTTGGCAGATCTTGCGCTGAATGGCCCAATCTGTGCTTTGCTTCATGGGCCTGCGATGTTGGAGCTGGTGCGGAGGATCGGTGGTTTCGCCTCAGTTTGGTAGCTCATGGAGACTTGAAGCAAAAGAGACCCCTGGGCCCGGGCAGTGGCATCAAACCAAGGTGCGTTGCAGATGCCCTTGCATGCAGGGCTGCCACGTGCTTGACAAAGTGTTGGCATTTTTGATCAGCCCCCCACTCTTGTGGAATCACCTGCAGCTTGTGCTTGTCATGGCATGTGCCAGTGGAGAATTGGGCTCCCAACAGCTTTTGATACCAAGAAGTCATCGATTGCAGTAGCCGTCGACGTGCCACCTTTCAACAAAACAGACAAAAATGCACTGGCCAGTTCTCAAACTCATCTCGGTATGGAGGCAGTAATATCATGTGAGCATCCCATCCTGGCCCAACCCCAGCAAACCCATGTGGCGGCTGTGGAAACGCTCAGCGCGAGCCTGCAGCAAGGTCACCTTGATCATCCGAAAAATCCTGGACAAGCACCCATAGCACTCCCTGTTGCCCAATCTGCTTTCGTAGCTGATCGGGGCCTCATCCATGACAGTCACCGGCGGCGGAACCTCAAGCATCACTTCAGGGCTTTCAAGCCGAAAGCCATCCACACAAATGCCTTGCAGCACGGAAGGACTGAGGGCACAGCTCCTAGCAGAACTTGCTCAGAAAGCGGGGGCAAGTTCTGCTGAAGCGCCCTGACCTTCAATGCTCCACAGTGACGGCTGATGAAAACACTTCAGTTGCTCAGTCCGACTGGGCTGCTTATTCCCAGCTGCTCCGACGTCGGGAAAAATGCGCTAACCAGGGCGCTTCAACGGATGCAATAGGTAGTTTGCAACGAACTGACTTTAGAGACACGAAGTAGGGGCTGGCACCTCTGGATGGCTGAATGAGTGGAGGTTGTCTCTCTTTCCTCGTAACATCATTCTCTCGACATTCTCCTTCCTTTGGGTGACCTCATACAAGCTTAGCTCCGCCTTCTCATGATGTAGCTAGCGGTTCTCATCCCTGCCATTCATCATCACTTATGTAGGACCCTATTGCGTCAAGATGTCTGTCTGCAACTGTGGCGAGTTTCATCATCAATTGGGTTAACCCGTTCACTCATGCTGCATGCTGTCTGACTGGTTGCTCTCAAGCGCGACCAGACATGTGACAACACATGTAAAATGTAAGGCCAAAGACGTATCTGCAGATTTGCTCGGAATTCGCAAAGGTCACAGTTGCAGTGAAACCGCCACTGCTCAAACAAGCGCTCACGTGTCTCGGGTCCATCTTCCTTGGATGAGCACAGCAAAAGCAGTAGCAAGAGCGCCATACTTGCATAATCTTGCTTTCTGCCGGGCAACCGCGTATGCGATTGTTACCTGCTGTGCAACGATTTCACGTACCAATCCGAACATTCGAGGTGCAAGGCCTCCTCCCCCTCCTCAATGAAGCCTAAGTGAGGTCTCTACATTCGCTCCGCCCCCAGTCGAAGGGGCTTTCCGAGTTTTCAAGGGTTCCTGCACACCCGCTGCTTCCCAGATGCGTGGGCGGAAACAAGCTGTCAACACGGGTTTACGAGTAAGGACTGCCGGTGTACATAAGGATTCTCAATGTAGAAGCTGAGCTAGGGGGAGTATTTCAATTTCGTCCGAGCCCTGAAGTTTGTGCGAGGATTACCTAGGCAGGATTATCCAGGCACTTCACTGGAATTGCGGGCAGAAACCTACGCGGGGCATTAGGATCAGACGAGAAGTGTGACAGCAAGGGGTTGTCAAAGTTGCACCCTGGGATGGCCTGGGAGCCTGAGTCGCAGAGCCAGAAAATCCGTGTGTCTTGGAGGGGTTTGGCAGCTCTAGGCGGGCCAAGGTGCGCAAGGCTTGCAGCACTGCCCACCCGCGCAGCTGCGGACTCAAGAAGCACGACTGCAGCGCACCTCATGGCAGTAGTGGTCTTGGCCTGTAGATACCTAGCGGAGGCTTGGAGTTTCATGCAGTCTGCTGGCGATGCAGAATGCTTCAATTCAGGTGTAAGCATGCAAGCAGAGGTGTAGTGCCTGGACGCTAGCTCTGACTCCCTACGGTCATGTTGAAAGAGCACATCACCCAGTCCAAGATCCGTGAGATCTACTTCCGCAACGCCCAGCCCTTGCAGGGACTTCTTGTAGCTGAAGGACACAATAAAACCAAAGAAACTCATACTTGCATTTGAGTTTGAACTCCAAGCTGGTCTTGCAATGTTGCTTCCCATTAGTTGCCAAGCGCACATTTAGTTACATTTAGTTGCCAAGTGCACATAGGAGAGTTGCTTCTTGACCTTGGGCTCGTGCAGTTGGGATGGCAGCTGTGATTCCTTGGTTGCATTTATTCTGCGAAAGGATGCGCACAAAGCGGTTCCAAGGCCTGTGGAGAACAGCTTCCGGCAGCCAACAGTTCATCCGGCTGGAAAGACAGGAATAGGCTGACAGCAGAGTCTTGGTGGCACTTCACACAAAGCTTGGGAGGTACTGCCTCCACCGGAAACGCTCAGCCTTTATTGAAGAGGTTCTTCCTTTGCGTGACACAGCTTGCTGCTTCCAAGCTACACAGCCGACGTCACGAGGTACAAGGCCATTCCATCTGCCACAGGTGCACCCGAATCCGTCGTCGACTGCTCCTGTGGCAAACTAGGGAACAGTTGCCCGGAAAAAGTTTGAACAACACCTCCATAAGCCATCCAGACATGCATCGAAACATCGTTCCATCCATCCACGGTATTGCCAGAATTATAACTATTATTACTACAAACCTCACTATTGTCATTTTTAATATTCTTGCTACCATTATTATTACCACTATTACTATGAGTATCACTGTGGTTATGAGCATTCTTGCTTGTATTATCATTGTTTCGATTGTTATCACTTTTCGTTAGCATTCCTATTAATTTTGTTCTCCTTGCTGTTAGTATTCTGTAACTATCAGCATTTATTTGATCATTATTTCGTATCAACTTTAGTTCATGAAAACCCTGTAATTCCTATTATTGCTATTGTAACTTATATTACGATTATTTCTATTATTACTATGATAACTACTTTTACTAGTATCACTGTTATAATATACACATGAGTATTTTTATTTCTGCTGCTACTGTTGATGTCCTTATAATTGTCATTTACAAGCTTTACTACTATTCTACTTCTTGTAATTGGAATTCTACTACTACCAGCTTCGGACAGTTTCGAAGGCTTCGGAAGATTTTTTTCCAAAGGCAAATCGCATCCGATCCGGCTCACCAACGGCATCTGCCCTCCTTTGGGCAACCTTCCTGAAAAACTGGCTCAACCTGATGTCTGCGGTGCATCCCTGAGGCGCCCTCCCGGACAAGCACATGTGCATGTGAACTTGCCACGCATGGTGATTACGGGCTTCGGTAAAAGCGTCTTCAGTACTTGAGTTACTGAAGTTGTACTGCAAAGTGATTCGGATGACGCTCTGCGCTGCGCACCAGCGCTCAGACCTGCCAGAAACACCGAGAAGGTCGTCGATTACGAGCGCCCCACGAGCCAGCGACACGACACGCCGCACGGCTTGCGCTAAGGACGCTCCGCGCCAGCAACCCAACATGCCGCGCGAATGACAAATTCGTCACTGGCGTGCAAAATGACAGGGATGCTCCACGCGCCAGCGACCCTACACGCCGGGAAGCAACATTCGCCACTTGCGTGCAAAGTTCCGAGGACGCTCCACGAGTTAGCGCTCCGACACGCGCCCACCAAGAGGCTTGTCGATTCCGCGCAGAATTTCGAGGCTGCTCCACGCGCCAACACGACTTTGGCGAAGTGCGGCAGCTTCCGGCTCCCGCTGGCCGTATCCCGCGCTTTAAAACAAGCAGGCAGACCATAAAAACCTGATGCCTCACTACGACCGTCCACGAGACCACCAAACATCCATCCATCCGATACTTCACCTCGACCTTACTTCGAGACTTCACGACAGCCACGCCATCCAATTGTCTGATACCTAACACCATCCTGCATCCCAAACCTGCCAACAAACCTTCCTCACATCCATCCATCACCATCATCACACCACCCTACTTACCACTATTACAACACCATCATCAGGTCATCCTGTTCAAAGGGGAACCTCCTCTGAAAAACCCTTCGCCACGCATTCTGGAAAAAAACTTGAGAGCCGTCGTCTCTGTCCGTGTCGGAAGATCCCATTTTAACCATTCGCTGCATGGACAACCACATAGTTGATTTCAGTTTAGTCATACAGCATAAAATAATCGATTAGCGAGACCTATTGATTTTTTGGAGAGTTGGCAACCTTGCCCCGACGCCCAGCAGCCAGGCCGAGCGAGGGAACATCCGGTTCTGACTTGTTAAATTTGCCCCCCACGGGATGCCTTGAAGGATAACCTAAGACCCATGTCAGAGATTTACTTGCTGGCCCGCCTAGGTTTGGAGCCTTCCACTCATACTTCGCACCAGCCACACATGGAGCAGCAATACTCATACAGCCACTTTAGCTGTTGAGCACCTTGCAGATGCGACTGTAACGTCAGCCAAGCTGAAGGCAAGTAAACGAAACTTAGTAATGTGGGTGCGCCCTTGTCGTCCCAATCCCCAGCTAATCCACCTGCGTTGACCATTCCTGAGAAATTGAAGGCAACTTGATTCGGAAGTCCTGCGCTGGCACAAGCACCTCAACAGCATTCCTGAGCAGGGTCGGATCACAGCTGAGTATACGCAAGGCATCCGCCAGAAATCATCCCTGACTTTCTTCAGCATCAACCCCGACAAGTCGCATTCGAAGCCGTCCGACGAGTATCCCCAATTTATCAACAGTGAACTCATGCGGCAGGGCAGGCATGAGCTCTTGAAGCAAAGAGAAAGCAGCCTTGGTGATGTCACGAGCTTCTGGAACAAATTGGTCGTTGAGGCCTGCAGTCTCCCACCACGGCACCCCAGCCAAGCCGGCTGCAAGTTGGAGAAGTTGCCCATCTGCATTGACTGCTTTTGCGATCAGCTTTATGGCCAGGCGAAATGCTTCACCAACATTGGCCAGCTCTTCCAGCAGGCTTCTTAAGGACTCCAGCGCCACCAGTTGCCGAGAGCTTAGTACCGCCGGGCACAGCAGTTCATGCCCCTGTTGCCTAGCGGAGTCGAAGCAATCCTTGCAACAAAAGTACTCTCCGCAAGAGCAGTTGGTACCATTTCGACGGGCAGACGCATCTAAGGGGCAAAGGCAGTTTCCGCATGCAGTAATTTCCGCTCTGTTAGCCTGCAGCTGCACCGCAACAGCTGGCGGCTCTGCGAGCAAGCAGCAACCACCTTCCACAGGCGCCATGGTCCTGCACCAGCTAGATATGAAAATGATGAGGTATGGAAACGCAATCAAGTCCAACAAAGAGAACACCTTCCCGCACTCATGTGCATGACAAGCGGCCTCAAACCAATTCCTTAGCCGATCAGCAAAGTGACCACTGAAACTAAAACATAGAAAAACGACTTGTGCACAAACTGAGGCGATCTACCTTTGCCAGGGATGTTAACGAGCTCCACAGCCGAGCCCTCCTTGTCCAAAAACAACTCACGATGTCGCCTTAATCGGCTTCCAGCAAAATTCTCTCCAGCTTGCAGACTTCATTCGCATGAAGGAAAAACTATGTTTCAGCCGAGCAACTGCAGAGGCGCATCCGGAAGCTCGCCAGAGGCCACAACTGTTGATTCTGACATGTCATGCCGGAAACCCCTTCAGGCTGCGAAAGATGCTTGAACCAGGTCATTCAGGAGCTGCACACCAGATCATTGGCAGGTTGGATACATGTACAACAAGTTTAGCAGCACTGAGCCCATAGCGTGGGCTGCGGGTAGATGTCTTCCGAGGCCCATATGCAGACCCTTCTGAAGATCCTAACGGCACAGCACTTTCGTCTGAACCATGGCCAAGCTGGGTGTCCTCCAGAATGCTTAGCCGCCTATGATACAACCTGAGAGGAAGCTGATAGATGCCAGGTCTTGAGATCTTGCGAGCTTTTTTTAGGTTTCGAGCTCGGAAAGGAGCTCTAATTCCAACATCTCCTGCTCAAGGATTGACCTTTGCTGGCCAGCGCCGTCGCAGGAAGCTCAAAGGCATCCGCATGCATCCGCTCTTGCTCAATGTTGGTCTGCAAAGACCTGAGTATCGCTCGCCTTGTTCCATCCTCGGAAGCCGGCAGAGATTTCAGCATTTCTATGGAAACCGCACTTCTCCGGACCTTTGGGAACAGTCTCCGCAGCTTCTTGCCCGTGCGTCTCCTTGGCAAGATGAGCACAGGCAGTGCCAATCTCTCAAGAAGTTGCCGTCCTTGTGAGGCTTGCGGCTAGAAGGCCAGCTCCTGAACTTTCCAATGTCTCAAAGCGCACATCTCTCGAAAGGAGCAGTCACATTAATGTGACAGTAACCTCTGCAGATTGGCGAGGCAGGACCTTAGTGGCTCTCAGCGAACGGACAACAATGATTTTGCTCGATTTCTCAGAGGTTTGAGCTTGTGGTCTGCTGAACATCCGCCGTACCCAAGATCTGTCAGGCCGGCTCCGCCTCCAGCACCAAATACTGTATGCAGCACATGCTCCTGGCTTTTCAGCTGTGCGACGACAGCACGCATCAGGAGCAGCGATGACCAGCAGCAGCAGGAAAACCTATGCAGCTGAGCGCAGTCACAACCAACGGAATAGCTCATGTCTTGACTACGCTTCACTATAGCTACAGAAGCAGCCGGACCTGCATGTTGAGCTTACGAGTCCGGCCTGCTTTGCAGGTGGGTGCGAGCCGCTGAAGTCCACCGCGAAAATCAGTCATATCTAGCAACAAGCCCGGCAAATCCTGTGGTACGGCGTGGTATCTTGACAGAAAAGCACAGCGCATGGAGGGGACATGCAGGGACTTCCGATGAAGCTGCATGCATCCTCGAAGCTCATGAGGGCTTGAGGCTCCGGGCATCCACAGGCCCTTTCTATTCCTTTTCCTGCCTGTACGCTACAATTGTCTCTGGAGATTTGACTGAATATCTCCAACTTGAGTGTCCTGTGAGTCCCACGGCCCTTCATGCTCTTCAGATCATTGAACTAGTATCTGGCCTCTGCCTTCTTGCTAACAAAGGAGGCCGCATCAGAGGTCTCAAGCTATGGGCCATGGGGCCAAGGAGGGGCTGCAAACTCGTGCTCCAGTGGAAGTACAGCAGAGATTGCTCTGAACAGAGTTGTGCGCTTTGGATGACTGGAAAGACAGAAGGCAAATCCAGCATGAAAAGCTTTTGCCACTTTTCTCCATCATAACCGAGTTATGTGAGAAGAATGGATTCCATGCGATTAAGTTGGTGAGCCTTGCTTCGCATCTGCATGTAATGTTGGTCAACATCGATATCTCGAGCCCGGCTTCCGACGTGCTGCAGAATGTGCACCTGCCTGCAGTGATCCCTAGCATACTTTTTCTGGGGCAGCCTGCATTGAGAGAACTTTTGCCGAAGTTGACGCTCCATGAGGCCTGGCGCTGTCTGCAATTCCAGGCATCCCAGGATCCAGAGCTGCTCGCAGACTCCACATTCAGGCTTATGGAGTGTGGCAACGTACGTCAGGTGGCATGTCTTTGCAGCTTTTCGCTTGAGCGGCACCGCCAGACGGCAAACGTTGCCTGAATGCAACCAGGAAGAAACTGCACACCTTCTGGAAGCGATCATGAAGACTGCTTAGTGCTGCATGAAGCCTCCCATGACAACCACTACAGTGAAACTGGCATTGCCAAGGGTGTCGATGATTTTGCGACCATGCTATCACAACAAGCATCTGTGCCCGGGGGCATGCCACAGACTGCCATGCGTTGCCATCCTTTCTGTCGCTCACGCTGTCTGAGCAACGCAACTGTTTTTCAACTTTTACCTCTAGAATAAGATGCTGCTGTTGGTATCATGGCTTCGTGCGCGCAAGATAATTAACTACGCTTTCAATCTCGGTGCTGCAAGATATTTACGACACCATAAGAATCCCCATGCACACGGGCTTGCAAGTCATAAAACCAGTAATGAAGATACTCTCAGCGGTAGGGCCATACATGAGAATCCCCAAGCACGCACCCCTGCGGCACGACTTCACACAACACGGAACGGATTAACGCAGCACCACCAATTGAATAAACTAAGAAGCTAAGGAAATCTTGAAAATCCAGTGTGGACGCCCTCGAGAAACAAGCCACACGACAGGATATGATATGCAAAAGGCACGGTAGAATGTGGGAATCACCAATGTGACGCGCCAGTGAGACGCCTTGCGCCCAGCCAGGACGGCCTAGTCAAGGACCTAGTACTACTGCTGCGGGTGCTGCTTGTTGCGCCTGTGCTACGAGCGTCAGCCTCAGCACTTGCAATCCCATCATGGCTGCTTTTACTTACTGCATTTGCAAAGTCTGCTTGTCTCAAGGTCGTTGCTACGCTAAGGTCGCCGTAAGAACCTAAAACTGCTAGCTACAGTTGAGGGCAAGTCGATTGCCACCAGGGCTAGCAAAATCGATCAGGTCCCAAGATGTTCATACACTGCCACATTCATACATACAAACCTGGCGAATGCAGCCTCAGACCCTCCCCTTCCAGCAGAAGTGGCCCGAGGATTTGACTACAATGAACATGACTCTTGTCAAAGGCCATGCTTGGAAAAGATTGCCGCATTCAATTTGCTTTGTTTGTATATTGGAGGCTTTGCTGTGGTAGAACTCTGTCCAGGCCGTCATGAGGCCGGTGAACGGTGGCAAGGCAGGCAAGAGAACGGGCACGCAATGCTTGATGCGTGGCAAGACGTTTTGCCAACACAAGCGGCTTCAACATTCCGTGCAAGCATGTCGAAAACAACCCACATCATCTAGAATCTAGAGCAAGCAAGCTACAGCAAACATGCCATGCTCAATGTGTTTGCGGACTACCTGCAGATTGCGCTAGAAAACTTGCACCCGTATGTGGCTCTGCATTTTTTGGGGAAATCCTGCACGAATCCGCAGCCCAACACCAACACGGCCATGATCCGCATCCCCTGGTAACAGTATGTCTTGCAGCAAGTTCTAGCTGCGTAGCGCCTTCTATACCTTCTGGAAAATCACCTTCTCAGCCGCCAGCCACAACAAAATTTCGACAGCATAACGTTTAATCTGGAGAGGGCTTCTCCAATCACCTGTGTCGTGCCCCTGCCGATCGTCCTTGTGAGTATAATCCTAGACCTGCATTCCGTTTGCCCGACGATGTGATGTCACATTGTCACACCAGGAGTGCCAAGCCACGAGAAAACGAACAGCAGGAGGAAGCTGCTGAGGATGGCAAACAGCAGGCGAATGCCGTGCCCAAAACAGATAGATGCGCCGATTGCCACGCGTGCCATCCTTTTAAACGGGTGATTCCATGCGGCCACCCCGGTCTTTTCCGCTCTGCACCAACAAACGTCCATCGCGCCGCCAGTTCTGCAATGCGTGTCACCATCGTAGAGCATGGTAAACGTGCTGGATAAAATCGTCTCGTCATAAGTCCCCACATTTCAAGACATGGCTTTACCTACTTGCTGCACCGTGCCTATGATTTTCCTGTCCTGCAGTTCAGGCAGACCGAATCTCACTCAACAGCAATGCAGGCAAGCAACCCCCGTGATGAAAATTCCAAGGGCAGCCAGGTCTGGCCTCCAGCTGAGAGACCTTATGCTCTGGGTGCACAAGGCTCATGTTGTCTGATGTTGCAGCAGTCAGTCTTTCTTTTCTGGCCCATACTCAAAATCTCATGCTGCGGTAGGACAAAAGTTCGACACGCGGGCTGACAAAAACTCCTAGCACAGGCTCTCTGCCGGGACCTTTAAAATAGTATAAGTTTATTCCCGATCTTAATTACTCCGCCACGCTGGCCACGTAAAACGGACCTTCTACTCCCTGCAAATCTCTCGTCGCTAACATATGGCCGTAAGATGTACCTTGGCATGTCGAAACTTTCGTCCTGGTGATGTAATTCCTGCTTCTGCAATCTCGTTCCATCTTGCTTTACATATCCTGGAGCATGTTCGAAGGACCATCTTGTTCTACGAGGCTTAGATTTGAGAGCCGCATGACGGATTCACTCCCTTTCCCTAAGGCCCCGCTCTAAAACCGGGGATCAGCTGACAAAATCGGGTACCAATTCTGTTGAACCTTGAATCTCCCCAAACACTCGGCATTGAAACAAAAAATGCCGATCTTGTACCTGAAAGGGGACCATCTCGTTTTGCAGACTAAAGACTAATGTAAACGGCTGATTCTCAGGACTTCCGGCCAATGCTGGACATGTTTACTGAGGCCATGACGGAACTTTGGTCTGTCGCTCAAATCAGCTAGGCCAGGTCTCTACGCATGGAAAGCAGGCTGGGGCCAGGACGCAGCAGATGCTACAGACACAACGGCAGTCGCCGTTACAAAATTCGGGTCAGGACGTGGATCCACATCAGAAGACAATAAACTCTGTCTCTCACCAGTGCCAGGATACACGGCAGTGACCCCGTGCTCATCATGCTCCAGATACGTCATGGCACCACCATAGCTCTGCGAAATAGCTGTGTCCCCCAAGATAACTCTTCCACCGCAGCGGGCATGAACGCGAAAATCGCGTTGTATCGTATGACCAACCACCATTCGGTTAGCTCCCATTTTTGACAGCACATTCCCCACCCTTTCGCACGAGGCATCACCTCGAATTGCATAGTCTCGTGCCCAGACTGGCCCTCGTGGTCCCAGAAGTTCGCGTGCCTCTGTCCCTTGCATCTCACCAGCCAACGCTTTTTGCGTATCTTCGTTCAAGTCGTCCAAGCTACGGCGCGCAACAATCTCTGGCAGAAGTCCGGCATGCACAAAAAGTACCTTGGCAACAAGTTCATCAACATTCAGTGGAATGTCTACCTACCCACTCAAGCATGACATGCACCTCATGATATGACCATGTTCTCCAAAGATCCCTCTCCACAACGATCGCCACCGGGAACTTGAGCACTTGTGAGCCCAGCCATCCATTCAAAGACCAAGCTTGCGCACGTTCCTCGTCCAGCGGTAGCTCTCTTCTCGCTCAGTCCACTTCGTGTACTTCACTTCCGTGGAAATGCTTGCAGCTCCTCTTCACCTCCAAATTCCGCAATGTCGGCCGCAGTGACCTCAGGCTTACATGCCAAGCACAGCCATAAAGCCTCGATCCACCTCAGCCCCAGACATACCTCCAGTCATGCTTTATGTTCATAACCTGATCAAGTCTGGTCTCTGTATTGACAAGGCCCACTGCTAACGCATGCCAAGAGCAATCCAAAGGAGCATGAGGTGGCTACGAAATCATTTCCGAGGATCAACCTCGTGGTTGCCCAGCAGATTGATGACCCTGCCACCAACCTGGGCAATCTCATTGGGAATTTCCAATGCCTTGCCGAGCCTTGGATGCCTTGAGTGCTTGCTCACGAAGGCCGAAGAAGAGCTGGTAAATCTGCTTGGAATGGCTTCCTCGATCCTGATCTGTTGCATGATGCAAGCAGGAATCACGCAGATCACCCACAGAGCTTGAATACACAAATGAGCCACAGGTTCATGAAGGAGAGACAAAGCTCAACTATGTCACCCGTCTGGACTAAAGTAGAATCCCCGCCGATCCAGGCATGGGTCTCCTGACAGAACTACCAGAAAACATACTTGTGGACGAGGGTGGCCGAAAGCTGAGCAAGTACTGGGCGGCAATGAGGCAAATGAGGTGGCATGGGTGGTCAGCAACTACTCAACTGATTCTGGATCACTATCAGGGTCCTGACTGCATGGGCACGGTGTATACCTTAACCCGGACTACTTTTTACGATCACTTGAATAGTTTGCTGTCAGCTGATGTTTATACGAGAACTCTCAGAGGGAAGATGAAATGATGCCCAAAAAAACGTGCTGCAGGGGTCGAGTGAAAGGGGACAAAACCTCCAAAAGCAGCAAACATCAGAAAACGTTCGCTCCCGAATACGAACTCTGTTATTGCTTGTAGGATTTCTAGGTGAACTCTGCTTTGTGATTAGCATGCTGGCATCCGAGGACAGCAGGCCGTCTCCTGATCAATCAGGTTGGCGTGGACCAGAATGCGCACTGCTCTATCAAAATCGCCATGCAGGTCTGCCACTGATATGAGCTTCGCCACTGACATCGCACGAGCTGCCGCGGCGATGATTACCAAACTCTATTCCAATGCTTCCCTGCAGGCTGCTGATCTGACTGTCCGGCTTTTTTTGCAAATGTGTGGCCAACTTTTGTGAAGTATCCCAACTTGAATTGAACAGCTGGCCCGCTGCTTAGGATTCCTGCTGCAGCCTGCATATGCTGCATGAGAACCTAGAAAGCTTTCAGTCTAACAGCTTTTGCCAGCTTCCGGCCCACTACCAGGACGATCCAGATTTATAAAGCTGCAACTACACAGGCAGCACACTACCCGGCCACCCCTGATCACGCTCCAATAATCCTACCAAAAAGCTGTGACTTCTTCGAAAGTTGCATGGCCAGCGCACACTTTGCAATGCGGCGTGATTGGTTACTGCGTTGCTTCAGCATATGCCTGAAAGCGGCCTGTTTTACACATGGCCCTCAATTTCTGCAGACTTTGCTCACACAAACTTTCACTCCGTCACATCAAGGGGAGCACCTTCGGGAGCCTCAGCCGGCATCAACCTGCGCAGCACATCTGATCTCTTCTTTCGAGGCTCTCGCTTGATGCGTGCCCCTGTCGAGAGTATTGTAGGCTTGCTTTACGGTGCGTACCAGCACATTGATTTTGAACCGTCAGAATCCGCCGCTCAGGCCAGGCCTGAGCGCATCTCCAGCAGAGATTGCAGACGCTGCTCCTCGCAAAGGCTTCCGGAATCAGCTACTTGCCCCGCCAATCGACACCCTTGCGCAGCTTCCTCTGGAGCTAAACTCCCCTGGCGCTGAAACGACAGCAAGCTCTGCCTCAATGCTTTAGATACAGTAGCAGGGCTACATGCACAACAGCAGAAATTGCGGATGCGGCTAAAAGATTTACTGTGAATGCTCAGCGATGTCTCCAAAGCTGTAACAAAATCAGTGCGATCACATTGCATGATTTACGAAGAAGCTTGCGCAAGCTCATGCACGAGCTCCGCTCGACCCCGAGTATCAAGACCCTTCGTCAAAGCCTCTGCTAATCTCTGCCAACAGGGGGGTGCAGCAAAACACCATGGTGTTGTGTCACGTCCTGACCAGGAATAGATTTGCTGCAGGCAGTTGCTGCTGGGGCGGGAGGAGGACGAAAAGGAGCAACCCAACTTGCCCTTCAACTGCCTGCCATCGCTGCTCCATCTTACTGTTCCTGTCCTTATGCGGAGCACTTCTTGCAGGAGCTTCTTGCAGGAGGTCTTGTTCTTCGCTTGCATCAGAGTACATGCGTCGTTGGATTGTTAGACGGCATGCTGCGTTGTGTCCTTCTTGCTGCGGCGAGTTTTCCATGTCAGTGTCGCTGCCGGATCCGACCGCAGAAGTAACATGTAAGGCAGGAACGGGATGTTCAACGTAGAATCGCCATGCGAGGTGCCCCTTGCACCCTCCCGCCGATCAGCCATGCAGTGCGGAAAGCAAATTTAGCTACGACACCTTGGGCAAGGGTTGCCTGATGTTGGCAGCCGATTTCCAGTCAAAATAATGTGAGGGCGGTTTCTGCTGCCAAGTGTTTGCTATAGAATGCTATAGATAGGGCCATGCAACTTGGGGACGAGCTTGGAAATGTTTGCCCGCATAAAAGATAGGTATCCAACACGCCCGTAAACCTAAACATGACGTCCCACCAACGTTTGTACTTGCAATGGCTTCTCGAGGATCACTGGCTGCTAGCTGGCACATTCCGGACGAACTTCAAAGCTTTAAATGTTGCACGCATTCAACAAGCCTAGCGCCACCAAGGCATCAGCACCATCCTTGCCAGTGTTTTTGGCATTTCCAGGTCTAGTATGTATCTTCATGTTTCTTTCTATGGAGATTGCGGTAAGGTCGGAAAGCCAAAACGCCAGAAAATCTATGGACGGATAAAGAGGGAGAGAGAGAGAGAGAGAGAGACGCAACAAAGCCCGAAGACCAGGAAGCCAGAAAAGCGAAATGGCGCCATATAAGCCATGAATCGGTCCAAAAGAAAAATTGCGGAAGCAAGCGGAGGAGGGACGCTGAGCTTGATGCCGTGCAGAGAAGTCCAAAGCCTAACCCCTAAACGCCTAAACTTTACACCCCTAACCCCTTATCCCTGAACACCGAAATCTTGGATGTTAGGCTCAGAGTGTCAAATACTGTTTCGTCAAATTGGGAGTCGAAAGCCCTCAAAATTCAGAACTGACACAGAGCTGCACGACGTCAAAGAAGAGCTTCTTCGCCCATCAACCACGGATTCTAGACTCTGAACTGAAATGCCGAGAAACGAGTGGAGCTTTGATTCAGTGGTGCGGGGCACGCTTGTCTGCTGAAAAGCCTGCGCATCAATGGACTGGAAGCCTCTTTGCCTGACAGCTCCCTCAGCAGGATTAATTCCTCCAGCTTCATGGAGTTGAGGTCCACAGACCTGCAGTGCATTTTATGCAAAGGGGATGCCCGAAACTATGCAAAAATGATGGCTTGGCTCTGACCCGCTTTCTCTGTGACCTCCTCGTAGAGCCACCTGGCGTTTCTGGTCTCCCGACGTGGTCACTGCCTGCTTTTCCATTTGTCCGGGATGCGGCTTCCGCTCGAGAACCTTAATCACATGCGAGAATGGCGAAAACGAATTTGAACGTTTCACATTGGGCAGTCTGGGCTGTGCCAAGGGGCAGGACATGTGACAATATGTAACTGCCTAACAACACCGTGTGAAGCTCATGTGCTCTTCTCAGCAAGCATGCAGCCAATTTGCTCAATGCATCCCCAGCTAACTTCAGCATGCTGGTGCCCGCACCGACAGCCCGTACAGCAGCCGCCTCCTGCAAAGTAAATGGACTTTGTTGTTACTTGATACGCAATCCTACCGCTTCGGGCCTTTAGCTCCGTGGACTTGATGACAAGATCAGAGCTATTCCAAGATTACAAACCAGGAGGGGAGAAGGATGAGAATCAGGACGAGACATGTACCGCTCTCTGACCCATTTAGAGAAACCTTTGTTCATGGAGAAAAGGATCGGGCCAAGAGCAATCTTTGACCAGCAAGGCTCAAACAGCATCTCAGCTACTGCTAGAATAACACGAAAGGGGCGACTTGTGAAGGCGTTGACATCCATAAAAAAAGTTGGGCATACGTAAATGCAACTCTCGGCAAAATGTCAAGATTGCTGCTGAGTTTCTTGCATGAACCTGTTTTGGAGACGGTGGCTCTGAAAGTCCTTCCATTTGCAGATCAAGAGTGTTTTGCGGTGCCACTAACGATGAGGGGGAACTACAGCAAGGTATTCAGTCTTGAAAAGCAATGTTTCGCTATGCCCCTGCTGCAAGTGTGGAAGGCTCTACTAAACTAACTAAGACGCCATGCCCAACAAAGCTTTGCCTATTTCGCCGCGCCTCGCTTGCCTCCGCCTCGTCTTGACTGTCACCGAATCTTTCCTGCACTTCTGGGGCACCGCTCTTCTGAGCCGTGTCTTAACATTTCCGCGAGCGCAAGGTGACAGGGATGCAAAGAGTCTGTCTCAGTCCTGCGAATCTAATGTCACAGCCATCGCCTTCAGACTGTCTGCTTCATGATTGAGCAAAACAGCGAGGTCGCTCAGATGCGGAGCCTCATCACATCTGCATTTCAAGCTGCGCATACACGACCACAAAGCAGACACAGCTTTTCTGGGACGACAGCCGAGCTTGACATGCCAAGGACTGCAAAGAACAACGAATGAAGAAGGCGCGCCATGCTTTCCCGCGCCCTTTCCTACGAGGACAAATGCCTCGGGATTCAGAGGTAGTATTGCTGCCCCGCAGCTATGTCGCGTGGGTTCACTAAGCTGACAGCTGACATGGCAGCAGTTGGCCGAGGTAGACCAGCAGGTCATCCAGAAAAAGCAAATGCGCTTGCACTGTGTCCACTGAGAAGGGCAAAGAGGTTCTGAGCCTGTTGTGGTTGCCGACACCATATTGCATCGGCTCAGAACGTTTTCAACGCTTCTTTTACACTGCAGCGAAGGGCGCCCGGCCTGAGCCATGTCTCTGCTGCTGTACACAGTGTGATCAACGCCGGCGAAGTACAAGGAGCTTCACAGACCTGCGGCAGGCAGGGCTTTCTCCCATGCGGGCTCGCGAGCCGTGAGGACTTTCGGCCAAGTAACAGAGACACGTGCAGGATAAGCACTTCCACATTCACATCCAGCCCGAGGCCGACCCTCACACAGCTCAATTTCCAACCTGGCAGGGTAGCCCTGTACTCATCCACAATCACTGCAACCATCTGAAACTCCTCACAATCGATGCGCACGCACCCATGCAGCCTTGTCAAATCTGACATTGACGCTGTTGCAGAACGCACTTTGGCGCCCTTGGTCCCCATCCCAGTCGCCACTGTCATCTTCTTCAGTGGCTGGAGCCGGCATATCTATGGTCTTTGATAGCGCCAAGCACCCTACCGCATCCCCCTGCGGCGGATATGCCGGCACGCACACGCCAAGATGGCCATAGTATCCACCGCAAAGCAATCGAACACATTGCGAGCATCTGATCTCAGCATCAACCCGGCGTTCGCGACACGATAGGCTAGCCATCTCACCATTGTTATGAAACCCTCTTAGTCTTAAATGACGATGGAAATCCCCCAAATCTTTCGTTCGAAAAACCCAGGTTTCAACCCGCAAGGCTGCCGCCTTAGCCTTGGGAACTGGGTCTTTGATGAGGCATTCTGTCCAGTCAGCTCTTTGCGTAGAGATATCCGAAAAGGTATCTGGCGGGCGAGTTCTCACCGGCGGCTCTACAATGACCCGCCTGCCCGTTTTCAGACTTCTTTGTCTTCCTGGAAGAACTGTCCTCTTTGCCACACCTGCTAACGGGACCTCAAAAACGCGCTTGCAGGTTGCCAAGCAAGCAGCTGCAGGCATGCAAGCTGCCAGCAAGGCCAAGGCTGCAAGGAAACCTGAAATTCTGCCGCGAGAGCAGCCTGACACAAGTGGCCATTGAATTATGTGGAGGACACCACAATCTTGCAGGTAATCGTAGCCTTCGCCCATGGGCGGCATAGCACAGGCCTGACGGTGTGGCAGCACGGATGAGGAAAGCCAAAGATGCTGGAACACAGCCTAGACTTTCGCACCCTAGCATTAATGATGTTTGGCTCGCATCTTTTGGCTTGAATCCGCATTGGCACGCTACTCCGAGCCAAGAAAATCTAAGCGGAGTGCCATGACAAGCAGGAGTATGTTTTGGCCAAGGTTCACTCTTTTCAGCAAAGCTTGCATGTCATGACTGGCCTGCATTGGTGCTCTCCGCATTCCCTGTAGTCCCAGTGTAGTCAACACTGCCGAGCCACAAGAATTGAACAAGCGTTTCGACTTGTGCGCTTTTCACCAGCAAAGCGTTCTAAGTTCTAAACCGATGATGCGTCCGCAAAACCCCATAGATTGCTTTTGCACCTTCGCCGTTGCGCCGCTTCAGTCCTCGGAGCAGTTTTGCAGATGTGCCGTTGCTGGTATCGTAGCGCTCGTTCGCTCCAGCGCCAGCACACCGTTCGGAAAGCGCTTGCGCTTATGCACCGCTGTGGGGGTCTTGAATTGGCCGCCGTGATGCTGAGCAATTTGGGTTTCATCTTGCATCCTTGCTGGATAGGGTCTTAGCCTACGTTAAGCACGAAAAGTTGGGCATCCGACAGCGGCCTATCGAGACAGCTATCCAAAATTTAGACACGCGCATCGCACAGCAGTGCAGGCACGGAAGAGAATGTCCGGTCCGGATCCAGTACTGTGACTGGTAAAAAGCAGCACTAGCTAGCCTAGGGAAACAGCACTACATCCACAGGTCACAGTCACAAGCACCGTTGACCGCATCATCACTGCGCCCACCACTTTGGCCAGAAGCAACAGCTGAGCAGAAGGCATCCAACGTATTGGACTTACAAAAGCATACGTCACAAGTGTCCGAGTCATGCCGTGTCATTGCCACTCTTCACGCAAAAAGCCTCATGCAACCATGCCATGCAACCCACTTGTCACATATCATGCAGCATTGTCATGAAGTCACGCAGTTCAATTCCCAGCATCAAATTCTAACCAGTCCACCACCAGGCTGAGCTCACATGCCCTGCGATTGAATTCCACGCGCATCAAACTTCAGTCAGTCCACCACCATGCTGAAATCTAATGCACTTCCGCTGAAGTCCAGGCAAAATAAGAACCTTTCATGCAACGCAGTTGAGTTCCAATTGAATTCCAGTGAATGCCAGGCAGTATCCTCGATCCTGCGTTGAATTCTGAAAATCACCACCTTCACACATCATGCAGAGTGATGCAGGACAACATACTGTCACTTTCACGAAGCCATGCAGTTGAATTCGAAGCCATGCAGTTGAACTTCACACGCACTGTTGTTGAATTTCAGCAGCTCATGGCAAGACTCTTTGCTGCGCATTCATTTAAACTTCAGGATTCTCCCAAACATCCCTCACCTCTCTCGGAGTCACGTGTACTGTCCGGTGTTCATTTGTGTCTCGTTTTGTGTGCGCGCGCGGGTGTGGGTGTGTGTGTGTGTGTGTATGTGGAGACTCTGTCTCTAAGAGCATACAAAGAAAAGAAAAGGATTGCTTACTAGACAAGTAGGGAAGTCAGGGGCTGCTTTCGAGAAAATTCTGATTAATGAGGAAGATTTGTTTGGATCAGGATTTGTGCTAGTCAATTAAGTATGTTGATGCTTCTGTTGCCGTTGAACAAAGACAAAAGCAGGGGGTGCCAGGGGATTGCAGAAGGCTGGCACCAACGAAGCCTTTCTGCCTTCCTGTGAAATCAGCTTGGGACGCCAAGCTGCCGTACCTGCAGGCCATCCCAAAATACCCTTAAACAGCTGTTGCTTACATCGTGGCCAAGCGTTGATGCAAGGGAGTGCGTAACAAACATGTCCATTTGTGAAGTGCAGAAAGTAGATCCACCAATGGTGTTGCTGCCACATTTTGGTGTTGGTGGTTCGGGAAGCATACTGTTGAGCCAGCATTGCAATAAAGAGGACTTAAAGAATGAAATGAAAGATCAAAGATGAAAAATGAAAGATGAGAAATGAAAAGATTTGACAAGCCCATAGAGGCATATCCCTATGTGTATCTCCGGCTGGTAGTTCTGACAAAGGGCCAGTCGTGATCCTGCATTGTGCAGGCCAACCTTGACACACCTATCAGAACGTCACCCAACACAGTGTGGTTACAAGACTCCTGAGAATTTTTCATCTGCATGTCCTAGTTGAGGCACACCGGCGAACATTCATACCCGACATTGTGAAGACCTGTACCATGATAACCTTCCAGCGTGCTCCCAAGTTATCTTATATTAGTTGTTGAGGAAATCAGTGGCCCCCATTACAATGGCCCCAATTCAATGGCCCCCAACTGAGCGCCCCCTTTGTCCTGACGATACCCAATCACCTTGACGATACCCATCAGCATGAGTATACCCAAGTATATAAACGGTTCTTCTTCGTCCTCAAGCAGATTTGTGCTTGGGCCCTTGAACAAGTGTTACATAGAATCATAAAATTACTTTCATAACATGTTGCTCTAGAGTTGGTTGAAATGCAACGTTCATCAATTCATGTTGTTGTATTGTAAACATTGAGAGTTTTTCATACGTGAGCCATGGCACCAATTCATATCAACATTTACAATTCCACGTTCTCCAAGAAGCCGAAGCAGAAGAAGAAGGAGACGAAGATCTTCTTCTACCCCTAGACGTAGTCGTAGGGGAAACAGAGATCGACGCGTTCAGTTGAGCTTAGAGGATTTGCCCAACAGACCTCCAATTGATTGGGTTGGACCTTATCAACTGCCGGTACAACAAGAAGCTCCACCTAGAGATTGGAGAGGTCCTTCGGGTGTATCGCAGCGACCAGTATCGGCGAATACTGTTCCTCCTTATGCAACAGCTATGCCAATGCCTACGATTATGCCTTCGACTGTAGCCGCACCAGATGTCAATCAATTCTTTGCGACACAAACACGGTTCGATCTTTTGCAACTACAATTGCAAATCCATATGGGGCTGACCCTTCTGTTGTTGGGAAACAAGAAGATATTGATTATGAGCTTGAGCAAGCTGCCAATTGGGAAGTCCCAAATCCGGCTCCAACTCCTGGTATACTTACGATACATGCTACCAATCCTTCGTTGTGGAATTTTGCCCCATTTCTTGAGGTTAACACTTTTGCTGGACGAAGCAATTGGATTAGGCCTATGCTGGAAGCAGCTCAAGGATTAACTGAGGACGATCTTTCTCCCACAATTCAGCAACTCCATAGGATTCTGTTGCGCAATGGCTTTGTGCACCCTATGAGTCCTGCTGTACTTCGACCTTTTGTTACTGCGTCGATGGTAAACCAGTTACCGATTTCCGAAGTTGTGGAGAACGGACTTTCTTTCCAACGTGACGGAGTTAATCTTTGGAAGTTTAGAATGAGAGGTCTTCCAGGTCCTACATGTGCTGACAACGTTCCAAGCGATGCGAAGTACTATCAGTGGTTTCATGCTTGCACAGCGGCAACCATTATGGGAATTTGCACTACTGGTTACCTGTTGCCGACTTGCAACGACGGTATCCAACTTCCAACTGATATTCCATTGTTTGGTTTCTTTGGAAAGGTTTGTACGATGGATTGCCAAGATTATGACAAGCTGATTCAAGAAACGTTTGCTATGCACTCGCATCCAAAGAACAGTTTGGGCATTTCAGTTTCTGGTGGCATATTGGGACATCATGCGAAGATACCCAGAGCTTCGACTTGGCTGGAACAGTTTCTGTGCATTCGCTCGGGACTAGTGAGGTCTTCGGCTGGTGACAAGAGATGGTGTATCAGATGTGATCATTCCAAAGTTCAATTTGTTGCACTTACTTGCAAAGCAAGCTAAATGAGCTGAGCCCCTTCAGACGCCGAAAAACTGCAAGGAGCCATGACTTCAATGATGTGAGAGTATGACCATGTGCATTCATGTTGATTGCATTGCATTGCTGATGAACTTTATGTATTCATTTTCCGACGTTGTTAATACATTTGAGGCTCCAACTGTGATAGGACTGTAGCAGCGCTTTTCAAACAATCACAATGTCGTCCTGGGGACCTTGGAGGAAACCTATCTGGAGTTCATGGGATTCCCAACCCCAACCTTACTGGTCTTCTGGCTACGCTACGACAACCCCTCCGAGAAGATCTTCCAGCTATGAGAATGTGATGTCTTCTCCTCATGGAACGGACCAACATGACATTTCCTCGCCGAATGATTTCAAGTCTTCACAACAACGGATGAGAACGTGATTGGAGGTAGAAAACTCTTTCGCAAGATTCAACTTACGGCATGGTCGCAGAAAGTCAATCTTTTTGGAAGAAATGTGGGCGATGTAAGACTTCATGAGCTTTGTTGGCAAGGTTGGCGTAATTGGCATTTGAGACTGTTGTCAGCGGGACAGTTTGTGACAGTAGTGTTCTGCCGAACAGCGAATGAGGCAGTACTGATGTCACAGTTGTTGACGTACATTAGGCAGCGCAAATGGGATATTGACCAAATAGCTCAAGCTGTTGGTTCATCATCGAACCTTCCCATTGCTTCTTCTAGCTCAAGCTCGGAGAATCCCAAAGTACAAGCCTCCCAGAGTCTTGCCAATTACATTGGCAGCCATCTTGAACAATTTGCCAACACAGTAGTAGAGAATGGCAAGGATCGACAAATTGCTGATCTTAAACGTCAACTTGAACAGGCAAAATCTTCTAGTCCTACGAAGCCTGCGAAGCCATGGAAAGGCCCCCGAAAAGGAATCGCTTGGCTACCAAGCAAGATGCTACAGCTAACTTTCGTGATCAAGTACTTGATTTTTCTGTTGCTTCTAGTGAAAGACATTTGTCCAAAACTGCTCCTAAGGCCATGACTAAAACCCAGGTCATGAAATGGATTGATGGATTGCAACTTTCTCAGGG